ACTAATGAGAATAGGTCCGCTCCAGAAAATATGTGGAACTTTTGAAAAGGTAGGACCACCAGAAAATGTGTAAAACATGTGGGAAGGTGGAACCAGAGACGCCATCAACGAGTAGTTTGGTTCAGAAGTCACTATAAAGCACTGTGAAAAGCATTGACTGCTTCTAGTTTTAGGTCAAAGTTTGGAAACTCATAGTGAATCTTCTTGATTGCAATGAAAAATAATTAAAATGGAAAAATCTTAATCTGTAGGATAGAGAAGTTCTCGTGTTTCACTACGGTGACGTTATGGTTTCTTTGAGCCCATGACATATATTTCTTCCACTTTATTACTGCGAAGCTCATGTTTCGAACTGAAAAACATGTGAAGAGGATGGGTGTCATCATCAGGACTCAGGACAAAATGACGGTCTCCGTTGTGTCGCTCTTTCGAATTCTGGAAGGCCTTGATTTCGTTACTATTTTTTTTTGGAAAATTCGAGTTCTTAACATATCTGGGTTTGAAAGGACGCTTTATAATAGTTGTGCATGTGAGAAATATAATAGAGTGTAGTCTGTTTTATAACCCTATTAAAGTTCTGAACACCTGAGATACTTTGGTGATCTGTTTGACAGTCATATTTTCTATTGCAACTATGACAGTCAATCTTTTTAAGGAAACATTGCTTAACGCAGGTAGGGATACACAGTCTAGACAGTTGACTTTAGCCTAAGGATATATCTGGTGGATTTTATTGTAAGTAATCTGATTTTGGAATTTTATTTCAAGTTTTGACTGCTTTTATATTTCGATGAATTGTTTCGTCATTATAAATCTAGTCTTTCTCTATGTGGAAGTGAGAGCAGTGTTGAAAGAAGCTTTGAGATTGGAAGAATTCTCCTTTTCTTGAAAAATAAGTGCATTTTTAGATCTACTGCTTAACCCTTCAGTGTGTGCGAAACGGATGGAAGATGAAATGTTCGGCGCTGATCATCTCTCCCGTAGGGTTACGCTATGTATTCCAGAATTTTAGGCATCTAATAAACGATTGAATGCAGACGAATTTGACTTTGGGAGTAGACTTGTGTATCATGATATTTTTATCTTCCCAAACAAGTCCGGATGGACGCATGTGGTGCAGTCGTCGGCGCTCTGCAGTACACATGGGATCGATTCCCGTGTCTCTGGCTCATCAAACTCTCCATCCATTTGCATTGGTTCGATACACCCGCATACCTCCGCGAGTCATTATAAAGGTCCAGATATGCATTCAATCATTTCCAAACGATGCTTAGTGAAGTCGAATGCATGGCGCATCTCTAAGGGGATTGATCAACGCCGAGAGCTTTGTCCTTTATCCTTTAAACAAATGTGGATTAAATTTGCCTCTATCGGATTGTTGAAAGCTTGGTTTGTCCTCGGACCAGATGAACTAACAACCACTTTTGTTATTGCGTGGAATCTCTAACTAGTACACTATATCCCCCTATAGTTCATAGTACAGCAAAAGTTTAGAAATCGTTAGTTCGTGAGGGTTCAAGACTGCGCAGTCTACTTTTCGAATTTTTTCTATTGTATGTACGGTATTTCAGGGTAGTTTGTTCGAAACACCACAGTCACTACTTTCTTCTCCGCAGTATGATATATTCACAACGCCATTTCGATCAAATCGTTGCTCTCTGTGCCAGAAAGACATCAAAGGCCATCATCGCCAGCTGTCATGCTCACACAAGTTTGTTGCTTTGCCTTACAAATAGACTATAAGGATCTGGGACAGATTTCAAGAAACAGTCGTAGGACGTTTGAGAAATCTACCTAGCATGGTGTAGAGTATGGGGTACCAAATGATCTTGTCGAAGTCTGATATCCATCCAAGAAATAAAAGTGAGGACTATTAACTGGAACCGTTTCAAAATCCAGTTCGGCCAGGGAGCAGGCTTCGATTCCGATCGCTGTTTTTTCTTTAATCTGTGTGTCTTCAATTTGTGAAGGACCTTCGGTGTACTCCTTGTGTGGTCACCTTAAATCTGCTTTACTTGACAGTTTGGGTTTGTGATTGTTGATTTTAGATATTTGTACACATATAGCATCATTCAAAATGTGTGGATGTTAACGTATTTTGAAAAGGACATTGTAGATTTTGTGGAAATTGCTGTGGCTTCACAGATAACCGCAAGTGTGTGCTATGTTATGCAAATGCAGGCAACAATTGTTTTTCTCCTTACATGTTCTTATCTCCACCTCATGGTGAGCAGCCGCATGGTAAGCCTTTGCCTATTTGTCGCTTTTAGAATCTCTTCATCATAGCTGGGTTATCTTTTCAGATGCTCTGGACTCTTCTTTAACTTTACACAGTCGATCGATTGCATCGTATCAAAATGGTTTGGCCGATAGTTTGCATGTAAGATTATGTCTTTTTGATCGATAGCATTCGCAAAGATTCGTTTTTCATACTATTTCTGTTTAGAATATGAGCCTGGGACTTGCCGATCTTCCTGGTGGTTTAGATTCATTCAATCTTTGGGATAATCGTTCGAAACTTTCCACACCACCACGTAGTTCAGTGTCCCAAGGAATTGTTTTACCTGAGACTACAATTCGACGCGAAGATGACCATCCGCCAGTTTTCTCACCAAGTGCTCAGCAACTGCCTACATCTGTCAGTTCACCTCTGCCCGTACACACGCCATCGAAGATGATCTCCCAGCGTTCAATGTTGCCAACATGTGCTACTTGCGGTGAAAGTGCAAGGTTAGCAGTATTTCTGTGTTTTATGTTGAATTAAACTTTTTTTATGTTTTAGGCTTGACAGTTAAAAGGCGCTGTTCTACTTTATGAAGAAATATTTAAATCTTACATATCGTTTCATTCTGCCAATGTTGAAGTATAGTTATGTTTGGACGGTGGTGTTTTAGTGATATCTAATCTTATAGAGAAAATTGTGAACTGACGCACCCAGTTTACTACATGGTGAGGGGATATGGTGCGTTCGATTACTTTCTCCTTACTCTTGGTAGTAGTTCGCTCATCTTCGTGTTAGTTGTATTTACCGAAAATATATCAGTGTCATATCAATTTTCACTCATATCTGGGAAATTCCTCAAGTCGGTTAAAGAAGAAGAGCTGGACGAATAGTGGTTAATATCTTAATTTTCTCATTTTGGTCCCTGAAAATCCGACGACGTAACAAGTCATGTCATCGCTGGGTTATAATCCATCGTTGAATTATTCCTCTATGGTTTGAGTTGTTGTTAAGAGCATGAAGAGAGGAGCAGGACTAAAAAACATTGTGTACCAACTTTCTTCAAGTTTTGGGTCACACACTATGTGCAATTTTCGCAACATATATGTACCTTCAAAATGGTATTAATAATGGACTTTACGCTGTTATCATGCGCTGAAACGAAATGGCTGCTCTTTGTAACGCCTAATTATTTTGCTGAACATATCCGAGAAGGCAAGATTCTAACGGGATTTCTGTTGCATGTCCCACATTGAAACCATCGTCATAGTCATATCAATGTGGCGGGATTGCCATCTTCTTGTTCTTACCGTCACCTTTATGGATCGTAGAAAAACGTTTGACAGCGTCGAAGAAATGGCGATATTATCACCGCTCATCGATGGGGAAGTGAACTTGTCTCACAAAAGAATAGGGTCACTTGGTTACCTATTGTCCTAGCTACACCGCGAAAAATCAACCTTTCGAGGATGAAGACATGTAGTCAGAACAGTACTCTTAGCGGATGACGTGAATTTTGACATGGTGTGCTGCCATAGATCATAAAATCAGTATTATACAGGTCGTTAGTGTTGTAGGTGCTGAGCGAAAATCACTTTCTACGGAGTGTTCTGGGAGTGTAGTTCTGTTCTGGTTTCAGCGAAGTCCTGCGCAGTCTATTTGATTACTGCTCATCAGCTTTCCCAGGAACTCTGCGCATTAGGCTGGACTGTTAGCGGCCTATCGAATGCTTGTACACTGTTTTACTCTCACCTAGCTTTTACAATGCAAATGTCGAATTCATGTTTGCTTGAGCCATTTCGGGTATGAACTGTTTGCTTCGACGTAATTTCACACTCTGGAAAACTCTTGAACTACGGTGAAGCAGTGGATTATTGGAGAATTGCCATACCGATAGGGTGGAACTGTGGCACCTCTAGCGGGTTTAGTCTCCCGAAAAAAAGTGCGGGTAATATCTCCTTAGGAAACAATACGATTCATCGTGGTTTTGATGTTCGTTATTTCAGTTGGAAACCAAGAATCCCCACCGAAGTCCTGTCAAAGAACTTTTCATTCGTGCGAATCATAAAAGCTGCACATTTTCTTAGTTCAGTTTTTAATTCTAAGGAAACTAATTAACTATGATCATATTTTGCTGGTGGAAGTTGCAACACAGAATAACTAACTTGAGAGGATTAGAGGTTCGCGATAGTTGAAGTCATGCTAGTTAGGGTTTTCACCTTGTTTTTCTTTGCTAAGAGATATGTTTAATATCTTTGACTGTTATCTTCTCCACCTAACGGTTTACTGCCTCGTCGTGGCTGGGAGGTGTTTCTGGGTGTCGGGCTGCGATGTAGAGCGAGGGGTTCGTCCTATCGGCAGGGTTACCCAATCTGAGGAGTCCGGTGTTTCCATTAAGAAACCTAGGTAAGAGTAAACCGATACCAGGATCCACCACCGTCCTGGTATAAGACCAATCACATGGTGGCAAATCTCCTCTGATCCACGAGGTAGTGGAGACGATCTGGGGCAGAATTTGGCCAGACTGACCTCGGGGCTGCAAGGAAACGCGATGGCTAAACCAGCAAAACTCCGAAAAATGGAGAACCTGCTAGGGCGCGCACAACCAGGGAGGACGGGCCGTCCAAGTGTCCAAGGAAGATATCTGTCTACTAGAACATTATCACTGCGATGAGGAATATTGATGAACAATGAATTCGGGTGTACTAAAATGGTGATCTGTAGTCAAAAGATGTGGTAGAGCGGTTTCGTTCGTGACAGTTTTTTTTACATTATATTCGAATTTTTGTTTGAGCGTATGTCAGCCATGGGATGGGGGTAGAGCAGTAATAGTGCCTCCGTTCATCACAAGCACGTTACCAAAGATCTTTTTCATCATAGTTTTCCTTTTCATGTTGGTATTACACACTGTATTTGATTTTTTTGGATTTGACGTAAGTTGTTTGAAAACACGTTGCTTTATCAATTCTTTTAGGAAAAAGACCAAAACTCCCATATATTTTAACACTTGTGCTTCAGTCAGAGTTGTTAACATGAATTATTCTTTAAGGTCTAGGTAACTGTTTTCTTAATACTGTTAGTGGCCGTGGTTTGCAACAATGAAGAAACCACTTAGCCGTGTTAAAGTTGTTGTTTAACTTAAATGAATTTCAGAGCAGAGGCGTTCTGTGCCAATTGTCGTGAGCTACTATGCGCAGTCTGTGTTATAGCTCATCAGAGAGTTCGTATTACCCGAGACCATGTTGTAATTGTGCTCCAGCAACTGCTTTCTCACATGGTTTACTTACAGCTCAGATATTTTTACTCGACATAAATATCTAACTATATATGTTCACAGGCGGGCAATGCTTTTGTCTCCGGAGATGATGGTGTCGTTGGAGCGTCTTCAAGTTCACCTCCGAGATCTTCTTCTCTGTGTCCAACACACGATGGTAAAGTCTTCTGCTCCTGTGAAACCTGCGGAAAGGTTCCGTTATGTGCGCATTGTATATCGCTCCACTCAACGCATCACATTATTCCTTTGGGTATGTTCACTAAAGTCATTCCACTCACTGTGAGATAATGGGTTTATATTCTGAGAATATCAATAATAAGTGATGGTAGTATTCTTTTCTTATATTAAAGCAATGTTATTATGGTGCAATCCTTACTTACTGAGAAAACGTGGGAAGCGTACATTGCAATAATAGGTTCAGTATGATTACTGGTTTGACGTCACACCCGAGCGGGCCACGGCCTCTGTGTGGTTCGACAAATGGTTACCACACCGGTGTGGAACAAGCCGAATCCCACTTGCTAAGATCGGCGACTAAAGGTTTTGTGTTGAAGAACTTGGAGCGCTCTAATAAGACTACCCTAGGTTATCAATGATTACAAGCTGGGTCAATCCGACCAGTATTAAGCAACATTTATGAAAGAGGAGAACTCATCAAGTAACAGCTAAACGTGCGTGCAAAGCTGAATAGTCTTGGCATTGTGAATTGTGGCGGATATCGACAAAACGAGTGAAAGAAGTTCCACAGTCTGCAAAAAATGTGATAAACAGTTGTACGCCTACTTTGATACTTGGGTGGCCCGTTTTCACTGGTTGTGCGGATCCCAGCACAATTTCCGTTTTTTTCGGGGTTTTGCTGGTCTAGCCATTGTGGTTCCCTAGAGTTCCGAGGTCAACCAGGCCAAAGTCCACCCTAGGTTTTCAGCACCACAGGCAGTCGCCGGTCTCTGTGGATCAGAGGGAGACTTGCCACCATGCCAGTAGTTTCATACCACGACGGTGGTGGATCCTGGTACGGATACTGATTTACTCTTAACTGGGCTTTCTGGTAAAAACATCGGACGCCTTCTCATCTTGGGAGACCCTGTCGGGGAGACGAATCTCCCCGCTGTACATCGCAGCCCAACACCCAGGTACACCTCCTAGACGCGTTGGGAGGGAATAAAAGTAAAAGATAAAGCTCTCGGCGTTGATCAGTTTCTGAGGGATGCGCTAATGCATTCGACTTCGTTAAGAATATTTGAAAGTGATTGAATGCATATCTGGCCTTTACAATCGCTCGCGGTAGCCTACCGATGTATCGAGCCAGTGTTACTCTCCTCCCAGACAAGTTTGGTACCAATTTGCCGACCCCGGAGGGTGGAAGGCTTGGTGGGCCATGGGCGCGGAGATCGATTCCACGTGTGTGTGCAGGGCGCCTCCGACTACTACGCCACACGCGCCTCTAGGGAGGGAAAGCTCGTATAAATAAATACAACTGTGGTGAAGCTACGACAAGCACACGAGTAGAAAAGCAGTTATGATCGTTTACTGCAAACGTGGGTCACTGGGACACTTTTATGCTGAAGGAGAGCCGAGTATCGATTACTGTCTAAAAATTAGACCAAGAAGCCATTAGTGATTTCTAAATAATAACTATAAGTTCTTTTTAACGTATAATTAACGTTTAATGTATAAGTTGGTTAAGATCTGAGTAAGATATTTCTGCGTAGGAAATGGAGTAGTTTGTTCTAGAAGTCTACTCAATATTTTTTGTTAGAATTCATATTACTTAAGAGAAGTGTCATAGGTCTTATTTAGAGCGCTTCGCATTTGATCTCAGATTATGTTATTCTAGAGCAGAATTAGGTTGGGTCTTCATTACTTTTCTGAGATTTATAATACAAAGAAGCAAATTTTGAGGTTTTCTCTATAGGTTTAAGACGAGAGCAGTGCTTAATTCCTTTCAAAAGCTGTCGGGTAGTCCTTTGCAATGAATGAAGGCTTTCATTTTTCTATGATTACTATAATTTTTTAGGTGATGTACGAGTGTGTGTTATTTCTTTACTTGCGGAGTCGCGCCGTAACGAACGAAGTATCGAAGAGGCTATCGAGAGCGTTCGAGCGATGTCTGAAAGAGTAGATGCCAGTGTGCAGGTGCTCAGGACTGCTCATGTTCTTGCTTTATCCTTCGCTTTTCATGTTTTTGGGTGTCAGGCTGCTGCATCAGAGCTACGATCGCTCATGCATCTACACATGAGCGCATTGGAAGAGAGGAAAAGAGAATTGCTGCAAAGAGTCGACACAATCAGACAGTCGAAAACAAAGAATCTTAAAGCTCAAGTAGAAAATTTGACCGCTGCAAAGGCGAAGTTTGCGCAGGTGAGGCGTATTTATTCCTACTCTAAGAAGGTAGAAATTTCGTGGGTGGGCGTAGTGATTAACGGTAGTGAATATCATGTTCGCGTCGTTAAGTGTTAGATCTGACTCGAAACACATCAACTACTTTGCTTTATTCCTTCCATTCGTAAAATCTATTGTTTTTTCGCGGTGTACTCTGGAATTAAATTGTCTCTTTTTTTCTAAAACAATTACAGTTCTTGTTCGAGAACTAGTGAACTTAAATTTCTAATTCGGTTCTTCTTGTTCATGTAGACTATCAAGTCTGTGGAATCTGCTACTACTGAAGAAGACAGTTCCCAGCTCGCCGTTGCTTTTCAGGAACTCATGCAGGTTTGGCATTTTGAAGCTGCTTTATCATCTTCGTAATTTTTATTATATGCTTTGTTGAGTGTTGGAATCTATTCGGGAAATGTTCTGTATTGATTGTTCCTTTGACTTGTCAACATTCATAAAATGTTCTTTGTAGAAGTCTTTGTTTTTTTCCAGCTGTACACTCAACCAATCCATCTAATTCCTCATGAGAATGATTCGATTAAATTTAGCGTTTCCGAGAACCAACTACTCTCCCAGTAAGCGGAATGTCGTCTTCTCATTGCTTTATATACGTTACAATTACGTTATTTTAGAATACGCGCTTTGGGAGAATTAGAAAGTGGTCCTTGTGCACGCCTTTGTCATCTGGTGGGCGAAGGATATAAAAGGTTCCTCGTGTATTTTTCCATTACTATTTACGTAAATATTCTACTCTCACATGATTTAGGCCTATAAGAGAACGTCAATGCATGGCTTACGTTCAACTTCGTGATGCGTGCGGAGAGATTGTACCAACCGATCGTGCGGACGGGAGTGTTCATGAGGTTACCGCAACAGTGCTTGCACCTGATGGACGTAGCTTGAATGTTCATATAGGGTGAGAGTTTTCTGGTGATCTAGATAAAAGTTGATTTACTAGTTCTCCTGTAAACTTTTAGCCGCAGTGAAAGTGATCCAGGAGTTGTTAGTGTTGCCTATTTTCCAATTCTGAATGGACAACACCAGCTAGACATTCGCGTTCGTGGAGTGTCGATCAGGTGGTTTCTTTATGAATGCATCCACTTTTGCGTTACGGAATGCATTTGATTGAGCCCTTTAAAACGAGTTTTTCACATTGCGCATTTTAGTGGTTGCCCCACTGCCCTAGAAGTTCGTCATGGTCGTAATTACGCTGATATTGCTGCTCAGGGAGAGCTGTTTTCATTTGGAAAGGAAGGTGAGCGGATAATCGAAAACGCCTATATGTTTTATTCAAACGTAATTAACACTAGTATTCTGTTTAAATTTAAATGATTATGATTGGTTTAAGGATCAGGTGATGGAGAGCTTTGTCGACCATGGGGAATTTGTGTTGACCTGCGCGGGAGGGTGTTAGTTGCAGATCGAAGCAATAATCGTATCCAGGTTTCATTAGGAATTACTCCTATTTATCTTGCATGTACTAATTATTCGTTTGATTCTACCTAGATTTTCGACCGTGACGGAATTTTTCTCACCAAATTTGGTTGTGGTGGGACACGTGCAGGACAGTTCGACCGCCCAGCAGGAGTAACTATCAACACAAGGGTGCGACTTGTTATCGTTTTTCCTTACGATCCTGAAAGAATTATTTTAGAACAACATAATCGTAGCCGACAAGGACAATCACAGGATACAGGTGTTTGATGAGAATGGAAATTTCTTACTCAAATTCGGTGAAAGAGGAAGACCCATCGGAATGTTTAATTATCCTTGGGGAGTAGCGAGCAACAGCCAAAACCACATAGCCGTTTCAGATACGAGGAATCACCGAGTACAAGTAACTTTTTGTTTTGTTTAATCTTTCGTTTGCATTGTACAGGTTTTGCAGTGGTATTTTCCTCTTATTTTTCTCAGTAGCATTTTTTCGTAGCCAGTTGTGTTGAATATACTACATATGTATATGCATGTGCTGAATCTATACGTATGCATCTATACGTATGTGTATCTATACAAATATATGTATCTATACAATCATATATATGCATATATATACAATTGCATAGTATACGTACGTGTTTTGGTTAGATCAAAAGCTATTCTACTTTTGTTTTTATTTTATTCTGTTTATTTTATTTTGTATGATCCGTCTCCTGTGTGGATGCCAGCACTATCATTTCAATTCGTTTCTTGCCATCCGTTATCCACAAAGATCTTGCAACTTTTACGTGTGGCTTCGGTTGCTGTTTGAGGATTTTCATTTCATCTTGAATGTCATAGAATGTTGGTCGAGTCGCCGTGCTGGAGCGTTCCCAATTGGAAGAGAGTGATTTTTTACGGACAAGTCCGGTACCAATTTCCCTACCCCGGAGGGATAAGAGGTTTGGTTGGCCCGGAGCGGAATCGGTCAAGCACCATGCTCGTGATGACAGATATCACTACCACTGTGTTATCGGTCCCCTAAAAAACGTTCTATTACTGTTTTTATTTTATTCTATTGTTGCATGGCCCGTCATCACATCTACTATGCGAATCCCAACATTTGTATTCGATTCGTTTTCCTTGCATTCATCGGCCATAAAGGTCTACGAACATTTCGCTTGTTGTTTCGGCTGCCGCTTAAGGATTTTCTCAGACGAATGTCATAGGATGCTGCTTGAGTTCATTTTCCCTTTAATCCTGGAGACCTCCGAGCTAAGGCGTTCTCATGAGGAGAGCGTTGGGAAGGTTCGGGTAGCTTGCGTTTGATAAACTGCATGGCTTACTACTGCAGCTTCCTCCCCTCTTGTTATTATTTGTTATTGCTATTATTATTGTCATTGTTATTATTGTTATTACCATTGTCCTTTATTATTATTGTTGTTACTATTATTATCATTATTCTTGTCATTATTATTATTGCTGTTATATTATTATTATTGTTATTATATTGTAGTTATTATTTTGATGTTATTATTATCGTTGTTAATTATTATTTTCATCAATTATTACTATTACTTGATACTTGATACTCGAACGGCTTCGGAGTCCTCACTGGTTGTGCGGGCTCCAGGATAATCATCATTTTTCGGAGATTTGCTGGTTAAGCCATTGTGGTTCATTGGAATCTCGAGGTCAGCCTGGCAAAAGTCTCCCCCAGGTCTTCACCACCACGGGCAGTCGCAGCCCTTGTGGATCAGAGGGTGATTCCCCGCCTACCATGCGACTTTGATGCCAGGACGGTGGCGGATACTGGTGTTGCTTTACTCTTAGCTAGGCTTCCTGATGGAAGCGCCGGACTCCTCAACTTGGAGACCCTGCTGGGGGCGAATCCCCTCGCTGTACGTCACAGTCCGACACCCAGGAACACCTCCCAGCCGCGATGAGGCGGTAAACCGTTGGGAGGATTATTGTTATTAATCACTATTATTGTCGTTATTAACCATTAACTATTATTATTATTATTATTATTATTAATTGTTATTATTACTATTATTTATGAATGCGTCGTTTGCTTATTCAGCAATCGCGAAGTTTTTAAACAGCATACATTTACTTCCATAGAAAAACACAGTACAATACAACACTAGCTGACGTTTCGGCAGTATCGCCTTCTTCAGAGCCACTTTTTCGTGACTTCCAATGAGGAAGTTTAGAACAGTTGATTATAGTCGCATATGGTTGACCTATTATTTATTGTTATTACTGTTACTTATTATTATTATTATCACTTATTATTTGAGTGGGTGGGATAGTGCAGTGGTTAGTGGAGGCTTCGACGAGGAAGCAAGGGTGCTGGTTCAATCCTTGAATTTTCTTGCGTAAACCGTGTATTATGCTGCGAATCCTACCTCTTTTTGCATTCCGTTTGTTTCCTTGCATTCATCGTTCGTAAAGATCTTCGAACTTTTTGTGCGTGGGTTCGATAGGTGTTGTCATCTTTAAGAATGTCAGTGATTGCTGCACGAATGGATTATCTCTGAAGTTCTGAGGTAGCCGGGCTAGGTCGTTCTACTTAGATGGGAGGGAGTGAACTGTTCTGAGACAACTCTGGTACCAAGTTCCCGACCACGGACGGGTGAGAGGCCTGGTGGGTGCAGGGCGAAGTGGAACCGACGCCTGCGTTGGTTATGCCGTATGTGTACTGGACTTGGTCACTACCGGTAATTACTCTGTTCTACCAAGATGGAACTGTGGTTTTCTGGAGTTCCCGAGGCATCTTTCTTCCGCTTTTCTTCTTAAGAGCTCTTGTTTCGATGACATAAGCGATTTAACAATCGGAATTTCATGGATCTGGACGCGATGGTATCACCAGTCGCTTATGTTTGAACCTACCGCTCTTGAGTTAGATGTTTAAAACTTAGATTTCGTTATTAATTTTTTGAAAGTGTTAATTCTGAACATTTTTAAATTTGAAAGGGCATTACATAAAAGTTGAGCAAGGGATTACTGCGATAGAGCAAAGTATGTTCTATGAATGTAAGTTTAGATAAATTAAAGTTCTGGTAAGTTAAATTATAGGATAGTTATAGTTAAATGTTATACGATGGATATTTTTCTTCAAAACTAACTGCCTTTTAATGTTACTTGTTCGTTTAGGTTTTCAACGAAAGTGGGCAGTTTATTCGAAAGTGTGGATTCGATACAGCGTTTTTCTACAAGCATTTGGATTCACCACGTGGTTTATGCTACTTGTCCGATGGTCAACTTCTTATAACGTAAGGGAAGGCTTTTCTGTTCAGTTTGGAATGCGGAGAATGAAGATTTAAGTGTAGGGAGAGGGAAGTAGGAAAACAGCTAAGTGAAACTATTCTAGGGATTTCAACAATCATCGACTGGCAGTCCTGTCCTCTCGCGACGCACCCGAAATGAAGGTATACGGTACTGAGGGCAGCGGAGAAGGGATGTTCTGTCGGCCACAGGGAGTTAAAGTCGACCCGGAAGGTCACATACTTATTTGCGACTCTCGAAATAATCGCATTCAGGTATTTCAGTTAATTATTGCTAGCCCACTTTCCCACTTTTTGGTAATACCTGGTGTTGTGTAGGTGTTTTCTGGCGACGACATGCGTTGCGTCGCTGTATTCGGGCAGTCTTCTGCGTCTAGTGGTTTTGAGATGCCAGCTGAGCTTCCTGCTCCTTTTCGATCAGTCGGACCTAGTCCTTTCCATGCCACCAATACGCCGACTAGTGTGTCGTCTCTTGACATTTCCAATGGGCCGCGTCCTTTGCTTGACCGCCCTACTGATGTTGCAATCGCGTCGGATGGACGAATTTATGTAGTTGACTTTGGTAATAATTGTATACGTGTGTTTTGAACGGTGTCGGATGATTCCTTGTTCGTTCGCTATTTTCTCGCAACAAGTGTAACCAGTAACCGAATCGTTCATGTTAAGATGGATTTCGGCTCTAAGCCACAACATTGTTTTGTGTTGTATCGCTAGGTGAACGTGTGTGCAAGTCATGCTTTGAGCCCGTTTTGCAAGTTTCACGTATCTTGGGTTATATGAGCTCCCATTTCCCATTGTTTCCACAGTCGACGCACGCGTTTCTTCGTTTATTGTTGTTTTGTTTGTTTTGAGTTTTGGATAGTTTATTTGTTCATCTTCCAGCTTCATATTCGCAGATATCCATGTTTCCCACCGCGCCCTCATTGCCCATTTCGCCTCTGCTTGGCGCTTTTGATTCATGATTCCCTCCTAATAGGGTAATTCGTGGCAATGTCTACGTTTTCCACTTAAGACACCTCTCGCACTCTGTGTTCTTTAACTATTAATTTGCTACCTCTCATCTTGCGTTTAGAGCTGTGTAGATGTTTCTTGTTGCAGCGATCTACCTTCGAACAACCTATATTTTACCTCACTCTGCGCAAAAACCTCTTAATTTCTTGCAGCCTCATCTCAGTTCTTCAGTGAAGACGTCAGAGCGTATGATTTACTGTTCGTTGTCTGTACGAGTGTCATGCAAAAGGGCCTCATTATTACCAACTCAGTTTACGCATCCTTTCTGTCGGGAACAGAACTTACAGAATGGATAGGCACGATAGTGCACCTGTATTTCTTGTCTGTTGCCGTGTCACTATTATAGCGTATCCGTGCTCTGCGACTCCATTTTGTACAATAGATTGTGAGGCCTCGCCCCTGTTTACGTAACGTCTAATTAGGGCCCCAATGCCTTTAACTGTGTTTGTTTGTGCTATATGTCTCGATTACTGAGGTAGATGATCGCGTCAGTTTGACCGTCCATTTTTAACCGCGGAATTTTTTCCGTGATTGCAAATTCTCTGTGACGCCATGCGTCGTTTTATCTCTTTATTCAAGTTTCAGTTAAAACCCTGTGAAGGAACCAGTGTCTATTCCCGGTTTAGATCAAAACATGTCAGTATGTTTGGAAAGTGATGAAACATTAATTAGATGGCGTGTTAGTGAGACAATCCTTGTGTTCAGAGTTGTTTTTATCGCTTCTATTAAAGTTTTGTTCTTTCTTTCGTCGTGTTTATTTTGTACCGGTCCCAAAATGGAAGTAGTAATTCAGAGGTGATGACAGCTTATAGAAAAATACCTCAATGAGCCGGATAGATGAACGTCCAAATTTGAGAAGTTTCAATATCTACACGTAAAGGATGTTTTAAGGCAGGTATGGTAATTGTAACAGAGATGATTTGATAAGTCATACCCTTCTGCAAATTTAGAGACAATGTCATGGATTTTAGGACATTTCAATAGTTAAATTTTGGTATAGCGTTTTCTATTTGGTATATGTTCTATTTGGTATAGTGTTTCTAGTGTGCTGCTATTCCAACTTTTACTGTAGCTTTGGATTCCAAAATGCACTGTCCGTATTTTGTGACCAGCAATGAAAATTAGCCGTGAAATCTCACCTCTTACAGGGCGTGCGTAGCTTTTATTTCATGCAGTGTGACCCTAGAAATTTGTACGCTGGAATTTTCGCTCGTTCGCCAAATTTATATATGGCTGTGTGACTGGTGCATGTCTAGGAAATTGTTTCGAAATGATAACTAGATACCAACATTTTAACGAATTCGTAACTAGCATTGCAATCATTGTTTGCTTAGCACCACTTTACTTCCCAGATGGAACTTAAAGAGATTTATTGTTTTCCTTCTCAAACGTTTACTATGACTTGCGCCAATTGTTTTATAATTTGGAACCAGAAGCAATTTGCCAAAAAATAGACAATTTTTGTTAACCACGATGCGACATTACGTGTAATGGGAATCCCGGCAGCTTTTCCATTCAATTCGTTTTCTCGCATCCATATTCCACACAGATCTTCAGTGCGTGTGAATTCGGTTTCTGCTTAGCACGTAACGTACTCTCGACCATCATACGTGGCGCCTCAGATAGCCGTTATGAGCTAGCTATACAGGGCTAGTTTTTTCTGATAGTCTGCCTTAGCGCACAAAGCTTCTTTCCCGCACTTTTCATAGTCGATCTATTACTGATGCAAGACAGGTATTATGGCGGGCGTTAACCAAGGGAATCTCCACTTTGCATATCCAATTATAGAAGAAACATTTTTGAACGATTGAATTGATGCGAAATTTGGCGTGCAACTGTGTTATTTCAATTTTAATTACTGTAGTGAGTCACAGTTATTCTATGGAATGTGCATGTATAAAAAATTCCGAAATAGGCTCAGCATTAGCTACAGAACGCTTCCAAATGTTGTTAGCAGTCTCCTTACGCGATGGACCGTAGTGCTTACTTATCTGGATACTTGGATAACACTTCTTCAAGAACTGCCACGACCGACTTTCTATTAACCTGACGATTAGCGGCTCTGAGGAAGGCGAAATTCGCCGAAACGTCAGCTTAATCGTGAACAAAGAATAATAACACCTCGCGTTTGCTCAAAAATACGAACAAAATCTCTTGAAGAAGTGATTTTCTTCGTATTTTTGTTGAGCAAACGCGAGGTGTTATTGTTCTTTGTTCACGATTAAACTGACGTTTCGGCGAATTTCGCCTTCTTCAGAGCCCGGAAAGGTCAAGTCGATAGCAACAGCAACAGCAACAGCAACAACAACAGCAACCAACGTGTGCACGGGAAGAGAGCAGAGAGAGGAGTCCCGGAACTTGGCACGGCAAATAGCCGTTTCTAATGGCTACGAAACTGTAGCTCAGGATAGGTGTAGAGGAAATCGTAGGCCTCCAAACGACAACTCTAGCGATAGAAGGGTCCCGTTTATCCTACCCTTCATCTCAAATGATATAAGTACACCTATAAAACGCTGCTTAAGAAGGGCGGGCTTAGAGAATTCGGTGAGTGTAGTTGAAATACCACCGAGTAATCTTAAGCGCCAGCTAGTTCGTAACCGCCTATATGACCGTCTCTGTGCAACTCAAAATTGCATAATTTGCCCCAGTGGTAGAGACGGTGATTGCATGAGCTCGGGTATAGTTTATCTGATCTCCTGTAAGACGTGTGGTGACGAATACATTGGCGAAACGGGTAGACCCCGCTGTGTCCGCATGGAAGAACACCTAGCCGGCAAAAATAGACCAAATACCCCGCTACGCACGCATAGGACCCAGAGACATAACGGGGACGACTTCGAAGTATGTGTCACGATCCTCGCACGCGAATCGAGAACACAGGCGCGAAAAACTCTCGAGGCACTCTGGATTAATTCCAGAAATCCGAAAATGAACCGCAGGGAAGAATGCCTCATTATCACGCGTGATATAGGGCAGTACATAAAACTGCTTTTCTGATGTGAGGGGCACGTTGTACTTCCACGTGATTTCTGTGCGGTTGGTCTCTACGTGACATACTTAGTGGAGACCTCATGGAAAGCGGTGAGTGTGCAAAGCTGTGTTCAAGGTGATTGAAGTCTTGGTTTGGGGTTTCTTTGTTTGGTTGTGGAGGCGTCTGGCCGAGTGAGTTGCTATCGACTTGACCTTTCCGGGCTCTGAAGAAGGCGAAATTCGCCGAAACGTCAGCTTAATCGTGAACAAAGAACAATAACACCTCGCGTTTGCTCAAAAAAAAATACGAACAAAATCACTTGATCAATGCCGAGGTTAATAGAAAGTCGGTCGTGGCAGTTACTTCTTCAAGACTTGTGTGAACTCCGCCACATCTCCCATTCATTTTTTTACATCACAGTCGTCGCCTATGGTGGAGGTTTGGTTCGTGCATGATGGTGGGGTAAATCTCGGACCGTAAACTACAAAGGAACCGCAGCTGCAAGTACAGCTGTTTGACTTTAGTTGTAAACACGTCCGTCCAACGTGTAGGTGGTCATCGTAGGATACGTTTGCATTCTCTTGGAGTCCACTCTACTGTTCTTTTCGTCTATCTGTCGTTCGTTCTTCTTATCATACGACTAGCCCATCTACGCTTTGCTGTCGATGTGTGTTTTCATGGGTCTCAAAAATGAGATGTTTCGAAGATAGGAGCCTCACATTCCAGCTAGGTATGAGTGCACCAGTTATATTTCAGAAAACACCGTTCAAGCTATTTATGAGTAGTGCACAGGAGTCTTGACGTGGTTGGAGTATCAGCACTTATCTCGGCTGTATAACAGAGCTCTGGAAGGCCGTTGAACCAAAAAGGTGTGCTCGAATTTTCGGGTCGGTCAGTTGGTCGATGGCTTTGGGGGACTGTGATGCGACAATAGCTGCTCTCCTTCTATCTAATTCCTCCTTCATGTTCTCCATGTTCATTGAACGCTGAAGGTACACATATGAGGTGGTTTTTGTTATCCGAGAAGCATCCATTTTGATATGTTCCCCTTCGCACCATGGGTTTTTCACGAACTTGGACTTTGCTTTATTTATTGCGCAGTCCGATCTTTTTTCACTTTTCGTTGAGCTCATCGATCACCGTCTCTGCTTCACTGGTACTTCTTGAGATAACGTCGTCGACGAAACGAAAATTTGATGGATGTTTTCCATCTATACGGATGTCCTTCTTGTTCCAATCGAGTCACTTCATTATCCTCTGCAATGTTACAGTAAACAACTTTGGCGATGTGTCCTTGCCTTATTGAACTTTTTTTTCTACGGGTATTGTAAGAGATCGATGGGAAAGCTGTATTTTTGTGGCGCAGTTCCGATAACCGATAGAGTTCTTATGTAGGGTAAATCCACTCCATGATCGACGAACGATGATAGGATTGAGTTCGTTTCGACGCTGTCAAACGCTTTTTCGCAGTCGACAAAGTTTAGGGCAAGAGCCAAATGTTACTTTCAAGAGACTTCTATTATCCTTGATACGGTTTCAATGTGATCCATGCAGCAAAATCCTTCCCCATGTCCTGCTTGCTTAACTGGTTGTGCCTTATCTAATT